AGTCAGCAGGGCATCTCATCGTGATCTGAGAATGGTAACCTTCGAGACGAGGTGATGATGCTCGACAGATAGCAATGGCATCTCGAAACAGCTAAATCCTTGTAAAAGCACTCCTATTTGGAATACAGCTGGGTAATCTTTTCAGGAGACAGGGGACAAAAAGAAACCTATCACTGCCAGCAGACTGGCCATCGAAACAATGTAATGAACTACAACAGAACAAAGTATCAAAGCAAGGTATGAACAAAATGATAGAATTAAGATTTATCATATATGCCAATGAAAAGAAAAAGTGTAGGAGAATTGCGTTAGAATGAAGCGGTCATTGAAAATTGGTCAAAGCAGCTGGAAAAGTTGTCGATTTCGCCGATTTCATAGACGGGCAGTGGACAACCGCATCCGGTGTTTCAGATAGAGGGTCAGTGAAACGAAATTTGAAAATTCAATTTTATGTCTGAATTCTGCATCACTCGCTACCCTATTTATCGCTTGCTCAATGTGCCTGGTTTATCTCCAGCTGAAATTAATCCCATATTCATCCAAAATTTCATCGCCAATTTGACTCAAAGTTTTCCCCTCCACAGCTACACATGACAAAATAAAGCTTGACGATAGAAAACAAGTGTATTATTGCACCGCAGCAGCCAGCAGACGATCTGCTGAAATGTCATGCCTGAAGATAAAGTTTCGGAGAAAAATTAGTGAGGACCATGTCAGAATTGAGGGGCTCTGCCGATCTGTTCTTTTTGAAATACTATAAATGCTTGATTAGAGTAACTGGGCCGATAATATAGTGAGCTTCAGCAAAAAATGACAGCTTATCACTTGGACGAATTTCACGTGAAAGGCCTTCGTTGGCAGTAACGTAAAAGTGAAGAAAAACAACAAACAGAAAATGACATTTAAAATCCCTCGAACAGTTATCGAAACAGCTGTTTTACTGCGGAGGAATATTATGAGAACACCACCAGCACACTTCGTGGGTTGGCCGTTCAGCAAAAAATTTTTCCGGCAATCCGTCAGTCGGATCTGACAGTTGAGGGGATCGGAAATTTTCAAAAAACAGAAACAAAGTTTTCAAAAACAGGAGAAAATTAAGCGTTTTGCGAAGAAGAGGTCTGGTAAAAGAAACAAAATGTGGAACTTTCGAAAGACTTTGAACTTTCAAACGAAAGGAAGCATTATAAATTTTCAAATGTTTATCAAGGCTGCTTCGAAATTGATTTTTCAAGCTTTCTAGCTTTGAGTGCTGCCCTATAAGACAGAAATTAAAACAAATTTTTATGAAATTGCCGGAGACAGCCCAGAGATTTACACATTAGCAAGGTTCTGGGAAAATTTTCGAGAGTTAAGAAATGTGTGAAAACTATTAGCAGAGGAAACGGTGATGTAAGAATGTTCGTCTGGTTGTTGGGGCATGAGCGAAGGGAGGGAATATCCACGGATCACCCACTTCAGTAACAAAATACATCGCGAGCAGCAAAAAATCAACAGCAGGTGGTGCACGCACAAATGCATACCAGCAACCCACTCAGCTCCTGATACAAAAACGAATCTCATTTCAGAGTTGCAAGTCCTCGACCGGATCAGCCCTACTTGAGCTGAAACAGAACGGCGCTTGCTCATATTTCATTTCTGTTTGCTTAAACAAAGTTATTTTTACAAACAAAAATTTAACAGTTTTGGACAGGTCTTCACCTTTGACGTACTTATGACTCTTCCGACAATTTCTGCACCTCTTAAGTTCTTTTACCAGCTTTCTTCTCTCCGCACGAATCATTTTGACATTCAGTCAGGATAGGCGCAAGTATATATATATTTGCCGTGTGCTAATTTAAATACATTGGTCAGCTCGGTCCAGCGGCAAATGATACTGCCATGTGAAAAACCACTTTCTCCACGAATCACTGATTATCACCCACGGTGGACTAATGCTGAGAGTTTTCAATGGACTGCCATCAAATTACTTACACGCAGACCTTGGAAAAGGAACGAACTATGAATGCCTTCCTAAAGATGGTCACTGTTGGCACGTGATATCAATCAGATCATATACTTCTGCGACTCTACCTCTCAAACAGAGCAAATTACGGGGAAAGAGGGATGAAGGAGCAAGGGAGGGTTATTTTACACGCATTTATGTCTGTTTGCAAATTGGGTTGAAAATTGTGAATCCGAAGAGATGCTGCCATGTCATTTCTCAAACGAATAAGAATAAATGGGGAAATAAAAACAACTTGGCAGTTTGCGGAAGGCGGTTTTGATGAGAAATAAATTTTTTGATGGGCACGAGAGGAGGGAGCTGCTTCCCCAACACTTTTTGCCTGACTTTTGGACTTTTTCAATTTGCCCAGATCAACAGTCAACAACGCGTCAACCACCTGACAAGAAGCAACAGGTGCCCGGATACTTCGTTCTTTACAGCAGCTTGTTGTTGATATATTCGCATGGAGGCGCTAGTATCGGGTTTCAAGGACTGAGGTTATCTTGAGTATATGAATAAAAATATAAGCAGGGAAGGATTAGTGAAAACTACCGAGGCAAATGAGATTAATTTCACTCCTTCTGCCCGCCAGTACGAGTTAGATCGCAGCCGAGAATTTCTAACAGTTTGTTCCGTGCTTATCTCCAAGTAATAGAATAAAAAGGAAGGACGATAGAAGCCCAACCAAAATTGGTCAAATCACGATAACTCAACGACGGACTGGAGATGCCTTGCTTGTCGAACAGACATCTTTTTGATTTCATCTTTATCAAGTTTTCTATTATCACTGTTACAAATTCACAGAACTACCACTACCTATTATCCTTATTAAAAGAAATCACAATTTATCCAGTTATCATCAACAGCATGCTTGCTGAGAGGGAAAATTTAGTTATGCCCCAACAGACCATGGAACCGTGGATAGTAGGTGTCACAAACTGCGCTTATCTCCATTAAGATATTTCGATTGCGATCTGACACGAGCGATGTTATCAAAGCAATGTGCGTCTGGGGGAATGTGGCAAGAATGAGTGACAAAAGACAGACAAAACCGATTTTTGAACGGTACTCACATAAAGTTGAAAGAACACAAAAAGAGCCGCCACTGCGATGCTTGAAACTCGATATGGAATTTTGCGGGCGAGAGAGGCTCAAAGTAGAGAAAAATGAAATTGCCAGTTACAGCACTGACGAGGAGAAACGCGATGATGAAAGAACAGCTGATCAAAGTATCAAAGTAACATCACTATATTTTTCAGAGTCTGGAGTGCTCCTCATGAATTAGAGAATGGATGATTAAAAAACAGCTTCTTTAGCTACTTGAAAAACGCGTAAAATATCACTCACCTGATAAAAATATGACCCGTCAGTGGACACACAACATACGACACGGTGCCGCTTCGACAAGAACCTGACGTCGGGAATCGCTCATAAAGCCAAGGCTGGACCAAAGGTGATGTGCACTGCAAGCAGAACGAGCCACTCCACGCAACGACACGCAACAAATAACAGACTTTCTCGAAATGTAATGAACTTTCTCGAAAAGTTTCACTATGATGTCACTGGGCCGCAGAGCGTTGTATCGATGCCATGCTCACTGCCAGGCCGAATTCGATAGATGATTCAGTCCAGCACTGAGGGATTGGTTTCTGATTCGTTTTGATGGTAAATTGGTACTGGCATATGCGAAAGAGAGCTAAACCCGCTATTAACTCGCTTCTAAGCAACTCTCGAAAGAGTCAGCCATCGACAGCCTTACCAGCGATAGGCTACTGTTAGCAAATGCTGTCAACCCCGCTATTTTATGAGTGTCTCTGCCCCTAACAGAGCGCCAGTAGAAGCGGAGTTTTGATTCTGATTGCGCAAAAAAAAGCAAAGGTGACGGGAAAAACGGCTTCATCGATAAAATGCACGAGAAATGAGTCGGTCGGCGCCAAGCAGACTTGCAAGGCATCCTTGAAAACTCGTTTTTTTTTGCATTAAAATTAACAAACGAATTGGAGAAAAAGGATTTTATTGAGGAAGAAGATGGCTAAGGGTGGCGAGTGACAGTCGTTGGCAACCATGCAAACCTTTTGCGCGAGATAGCCGAAAATCTGGAAGCATACGATTCACACTTATAACACCTCGAAAGAAGGTGTGTCCATGCTTCGGACAAAGATTGTCGGAAATGTCCGTCCATCATACTGACTCCCCTAACACCCTCCTACTTTTGTTTTCATTTGCTTAAAAAACGCAATCCAGCATTTCCAAATCACGTTTTCCTTCGTTTTTATTACGAAACAGATTAGTTTCTTGCCTATTAGGTAGAATTTGTGACCGCCCTGACGCAAGTCTCTCTTGGCCAAGTCTTCGATTCTACAACCAATTCCTGCACTTTTTCTAGCTCCGAAACTGATGGTATCTCCTAGTGCAAGCGAAGCAGCAAGCAGCTCCCCTCTCTCCTGGATACGCCGCTGTCACAACTTCACGGGTACACGCTTCACTGCTGTGTTTGTTAATGACAGAACTCAGAAGTACACGAAGATTTATGTGAAGGTTTTTCCATCCCCTTCTTGCACCATCCACGCCTCTCATTCTCCCAAACCGGCTGATTTTTGAACTGCGAAAATGCTCTGCGAGCACACACACAAACACTAGGTAAAAAGAATTGTTAATAAAAACACGGAAGAAAAGTAAACGATGAAATGCAGCACTTCTCACGAGCAAACTGTTTTTATACCGTAGTCTTTCAGAGAATTTATAATTCGTGCTACAGTTTTCAGAGGAATTCGGCACGTACGCATACACACATCAAAGATCTGAAAAACAGGGGGATACACCGCGAAAAACGACACCGATCACCGCAAATTGGAGTCAGTCACTGGACTTCGCTGATTTTTCATGATTAAACGACATCCCAGGCTGAACGAAATAATTCATCTTTACTGTCAGACACATTTAATCCAGCTTTCATCAACAGTCGTCCTATAGAAGTGATTTTTTTGGAGTCACCGGAGATGCACCCTCTGCGCCACAAGCTTCCAGTGATCGGCGCAATGCAGATACGGTAAAGGGCGTGTTGTGTAAGGGTAAGCAAGTCCTATCCACTGTCGATCGTGCTGTTTTTTTTTTTTTTCTACAGTAATAAAAAACTGTTTGCATCTCGAACGACTGTGTTCCAAGTTCGCCTGCTGTTCTGTGTGCTGCTTATCTGGGGATTCGAAGTTGCCTGGCAAAAACGTGCAATCAGGACTCGGGGTACGTGGTTTGGTTTGGGCGGAGGGATCGCCCAGAGTGGAGGGGGAGGGGGAGGGATGAGACGCAAGGACTGAAAAATCGGGCCAATAAATCGGGGATTCGAGGAAGCCAGTAAACCAGGAGTATAAAATGGGACAACCCAACAAGTGCACACTAGCGGAAGAAAATGAATCTTTTTACAGATGCCTTGAAGAACTTAGGGAGAAACCCAGGCAACTCTCAGATCCGTTATCCTAGAATCCACACCGTTTACATTATTCAAACAATATTTCAATCGAGTAAACCCGCCATTTTTCATATCCCTCGAAAAAAATTCTTTTCCTTCAAAGAATTTTGATTGGGTTACACGCATTTCCGTCACAGGGTCACGTATTTGCCCTATAAAACACAACCAAAGCATACAAACAGATCGGAAACTTGGTATGCTGATAGTGCGCTGAGAACTGTAACCAGTTTTTATCTGCAAACCAGGGAAAGAAAACGTCCAGAAATTCCATTATTTTTTTGGTAGCAATAATGGAATGAAAGAACACTGCGCAATCCCTCATCAACAGTGCAGTAAGTACCTCAAGCACAGTTCATCAACAATCACTTTGTAATGACATTCATTTTAAACCGCAAAAATTCGCACAAAGTAAATAATGTAACTGGCAATCTTCTATCAGTAAAACCTGCGGTCCTCTTTTTCGCAAAAAGCAGAATCCCGGTGCACATATATCAAATTCAGTGAGAGGCGGAGGCACTTGGAAGTAGCCGGGGGAGTAGTGCAATGCCAGCGGCAGCAGCACCAGTCAACAACAGCAAGGCCAGCTGCTCGTTCATTCGGAAGTCTTATTTTTACTTCAGATTTTTCGATCGGGTAACAAGAATGAAGGCGTACGTTTTGAACCTGATTATCTACAAGAATTCCTAATTATTTGCTTTTTTCTAGAGGTCATTCGATTTCGAACATTGACGAATTCAAAGTCCTAGAAAAAGACGGCATAATACAATAAAACAAAAAACAAATGATATAAAAAGGATGGAACAATACGTACATTTTGAGCAGAAAAAATCAAGCAATCCCATTAGCGTATCTAATACCCTGTAGGCGAAATCACAATACAGGAGGAAAACTTTTCATCTTAGAACTATAAACCTGGACAAAAAAGGAACTAAAAATGGGCATAACAAAAAACGCACAGTCTTAACCTAAGCCTTTTGTTTTTAATTAAAAATTATGTAAGTAATCCAAGTAAGACCAAAATAACTACAAAAAATGTTATCAAAAAAAAAAATAACTGAGCCAATAAGGAAAGCAAAAAAAAAATATTTTTAGGTTGAAGCTTAGAATAATATACTGATATTATGGTATCAACGCAAATTAAATGCTATCTTTTGCATATTTTGGAGCATTTACTCACTCAAGAATAATACCAAACGTTGTTCCTCGTTCTAAACTACCTTTAGTCACAAATAAACTTTCTGAACGATAATTCAATCTAAGTTAAAAAGGAAACAGCACTGCTATTAAGAATGATCATGAGACGACAAAAGTCAGTAATGTAAGAAAAATCGGCGAGATCGTGGGTGAAACATCACAGGAAGAGATTACCCTTCTGCATGTGCACTTCCAGTACTTTCCATGCCACTGCTGGATTGTATTCCTCCATATCGCGACACATCACCCAAACGTGGTGCACACGTACTGGACTGTTCTGCAATGTTTAGCAACGTTTGTTTAAAAAAAAGCATTTAAAATAAACCATGGATTCAGAGCTCATGTATCTCCTGCTGTGATTCGTAGTCTGATTCTTAGGTTATGCAGTTAATAATTTACTTTGAACAATACTATTTAGGGTTAAAGGAAAAATGTGAGAAAAAACGATGAAAAACATGAGAAAAAACGATGAAAAACATGAAAGGAATTACTAAAGTAGGTAAGAAATGTTTCGGTCAGCCTGCTGACGATCCTGACATCCTTTTCATTTCTTCAAGGGGTGACCCTGTCCAGCGGTTCCTTCGAAAGAGAAACTTATCAGAGCTTTCTTTGTATTTTGGGTGCCCCTGGTATGTATTGAACATCACATCTAATCTTAAAATTTGTCCCTCCTAGGCCACAACAACACAATGCCACACCTGTGATTCATCAGTCTTTTTACTGAGAAAGTATGGTGTATCTTCCTATGTCTGATTAACTCAGAGAAGCAGGTAACGGCAGGCTATGAGCTATTTCAGAACCGGTGCCAGGACGATTCCGGGTGGATGGTATTTCAAAAGTTAAACAAAATACTGAAAAAAGGCATTCACATCCTATTATCAGCTACCTAATCAGTAAACGCACCAAACAAAAGTTTATTTTTTATTGGAAAATTTGCTATTTTATCGCGATTTTATCAAGATTCTATCAGAACTATGGTTTTTATTAAGATCAATGTCTCCTCACATTAGTAAAACATTAAGATAAATCCCAATCAAAATGCACTGCCATATGATCAGTTGAACAGAGGGATTAATTATGATATATATTTAAAAAAGAAATTAAAAAATTAAGGAAGTAAATCAAAAATTGAATCTGAAAAGTAAAAAATTCAATTAGAAAATAGGAAAAAACCACAAAAAAAAACAGATGGCGAATATAAAGTAGTGGCAAGTATCACTCTTGTGCCAAGGTCGATTATTTTTTTTTTTCGGAACGCTTAGTCCCTCTATTATTCATTTCGATGGTAAACTGGTACTGGCTAATTAAGAGGGATCGAAATTTCCAAAAACTTCCTTATAGACAACCCTCGAGAAAGAAATTGCCAGTTTTGCCAGGAGACGGCTGGTATTAGTACATATTAGCACTCAAACTACTTCTGACCGCCTCTGCTTCTCATGGAAAATGAAGTTTTGACTTTTGAATTTGACATCCAAACATTTATCGTCCTTTGAGCTTAACTTATTGAGGTCTAGTGATTTCTGAAATAAAAAAAAAAAAATCAAAAATATGTCTTACCGGATCACCCTCCACAACTTTTCCTTCCATATTTCTGATAACATTCACCATGTACACTTGAAATGTGATTATCATCACCGGACCCTGTTCCATCATTTTACCCGTAACCATCTGAATTTTCTTTTTTTTTTGAAAATTTTCAGTGAAAATTGCAAAAAAGTTTTAACAAAGCAACGGCGGCTTCATATGAATAAAAAAGATGACAAAGTTTTGTTATGTAAATAATCAGTCTTTTAATGACCTTGTTGCATCACGACCCTCTCCTAGGTAGGTCGTGCACTGGCGTGAAAACGGCCTATATAAGGCTGCCGTATCTATATTTTGAGTAGTGTTTTATCTGGACCAATGTCAATCCCACCGAGGGGCGTCGATCGACTAGTGTCTATCCCGTGAAATGCGCCGACCAGGACGACTTACGAAGGACGAGGACCCCGTTGCTACCTCAAGTAATTGCCGAGGGGCCGATGACCCGACTTGACAGGCCGCAGCACTCGGCCAATCGACTGGAGCGCCCGGACCGGTGAACCGAATAACTTTGCTTTCAATTATTGTGTAAATAATTTAAATAATATTCTGGTATTTCTTGACTTTTGGCCGGGAAGAAGTGAGGAAGAAAAGTTGCATCGGAAAGTGATGCTCTCTTAATAGATGCGAAAATGGATTTCTATCTATCTCATTTATTTCTTGCATTTTTTACTCTGGCTGTAAGTCAAACCAGAGTTCCACTAACAAATGATGAAGAGAACTTGTTGATTCTAGTTTTGTTACCCTGATCATTAATTGATATCATAACGTTCCAAAAACCAGCAAGGGAATGAAACATCACTTCGTTTTCAAATGAGAATTACGTGTGGAAACAAACCTCAACTTTATCAACATCAATGACGCGACAATCGGCCGTACTGAAATTGACCTTTTGGTACTCACTGACAATCGCTGACAAAACACTGTAAGCCTGAAATGTACAGGGTTGCGCAAAAAATTCTGAAAATTACAAAAAAAGATTTGTTTTCAGAAATGTACGAAATTAAAAAGAAAAATCAAACGTTTACAAAAAACAAAAAATTTCAAGATGGAAAACGCACTCTTTCATGACACCAGTCTTTGAGAACTTTCAGATCCCCGCGGATAAACGCTTCCAGAACATT